ACCCAGCCTCTAAGAATCCCGGGCCCCAGCACCTGGAGATAACTGTCTGTAGACAAGTTTTCCTTCTTAGGCTTCATTGTGGCTTGAGTCAATGGATTTTTCTAGCAAATGGAGAATCTACTTCTATTTCCTGAAAGCTCTTCTGTAATAACTCCAAGTACCACCGTGATGCTGTGAGAATAGTCCAAAGGTTCTTCTCCCTCTGTGTGGCACATTAGGGATGAGAAGCAGGTGGCAGGAAACGAGTTGGAGAACTTATGCACAACCAAGAGAGGGGCTTACAGAAACAAGACCCTAGAATGTTCCAAGATCTCTGCCTGCTTAGCTTGGAGCTTTTGCCCTTGACCTATAATGGTCATAGGATCCCTGGGAAAGAAACACCAAGGACCTGGGGGAACTAGTGCATTTGACAGGTGGACACTAGAGAGCAGAAAGAAGACACAGTTGTAGATTAAATGTGTCATGGACAAAGTAGAATAGAGCATTCTAGCACGAACAGTAATGTGGAGACAGGAATGATCATGGTATTGAAGCCCGTGGTCCTGGTCCCTAGCTTCTGCCTCTCTATGACACTAGTGTGTTAGAATACTGAGCTGTGATAGATGATAGATGAGAATAGTGTGAACTATGATAGATAGTACCCTTCTTTTGCATTCCTCATTACTCCTCTTCTAACCATTCCAGAACCACAGGCCAGAAACAGCTATCCACACAGGGTGAAGCTGGACCCCTCCCCCAACACACAGAGGTTTACACACACAACACTTTCAGTTCAAGACCACAACCCTCAAATGCTGCACGGAGCCTCTACTGAGACCCTTGACCTTCAAGGAGAGTCAGAGATGGACTGTCCTTCACCACTCTTTACCATTGAAAGGCAGGCAGCTGGGCATAGCCAGGTGACAGAGTGATGGGAAAGAGAAAGGTGACAGCACTCACCCCCTGAAAACCTGCTTCTCCCTGTCCCCCCAACCACCACCCCACCAGACAGAGGAGGACAAGAAGAACTTGCTGAGGCTACAGGACCTGGTGGACAAGCTACAGCTAAAGGTCAAGGCCTACAAGCGCCAGGCCGAGGAGGCGGTGAGTTCATGGTTTCCGTGGTTTTTCCTCCATGCATCTTCTGTATGTGAACATTCATGTGTGTCCAGCATGCTTGGCAGGGCTAGGACAAAGGATGGCTCTCAATGTAATTGTAATCAGGCAGTTGAACTCCACAGAAGTGAGGCGACTCCCCACTATTGCCTGTAAGCAATGCACCATGAATCCCTGTGAAGGTACACAGAGATAGTTCCTTAGGCCAGGGGGTAGTCAGTGCATTAGACAGTCATGTGGCCATGGAATCAGGTCCAGCAGACACCTTCCTCCTCAAGGTAGAAGACATGGGGCTGGTAGAAAACTTAATGGGGCTAATGGGGCTGCCCATGCGGGAATCGGGGTTCAGGGAACCACCCTCTGAGGCATGCTGGACAGATGCCATGAGGCTGCCTCCTGTGGCCACCTCCCAACCAGGCAGAGTAGGATTCAGTTTGGCCAGTGGATAGTGGCCATGAAGGTCACTGGGTGCTGGCAAAGTATGAGAAGGGTCTACCCAATCCCTCCAGGAGGAGCAGGCCAACACCAACCTGTCCAAGTTCCGCAAAGTGCAACACGAACTGGATGAGGCAGAGGAGCGGGCCGACATCGCTGAGTCCCAGGTCAACAAGCTGCGGGCCAAAAGCCGCGACATTGGCGCCAAGGTGGGTCTTCACCCATTCTCCAGTCTTCATCCCCACAGCAGGTTCACCTCCTGACGTGAGCACCATTCACGCTGCGTATCCTCAAGCCCTGAGGGTTCCAGAACATCTATAACATAAAACTCCACCCTCCCACCCAGAGCAGTCCCATCCTCACCCCCTGGCAGCCTGGAACCTTTGCAGAAAGCCCTCATCATTCCTCTAAATCACAACACCTTGTTAGGGGACCCCAAGGTCCTGGCAGGCCAGCCTGTCCCTTGCTGTGGGTGTCTCCCTTCAGCCTCAGGAAACCCTCAGGACCCCTCCCTCTGGCCAGCTGCCACTCTAACCTCTCCTTCCTTTTGCAGCAAAAAATGCACGATGAGGAGTAATGCGGCCTCCAGCAGCTGGCTCTTGTTAACCCGTAATAAACACGCGTGCCTGACTCTGCCTGCTCCCATCTATCCTTCCCACACCAGCCGGCCATCCCAAAACAGGAGCAGTGTGGGTGGTCCCAGCCCCTGGAGCTGAAGCTCCCACATCTGTAGGAGGGGAAGTGGGAGGGGAAATGAAAGCCCAGAGAAGTGAAATACCCCCGCCTGGGGCAGCACAGCCATCAAGCTCGGTTCTGCTAGGAGAGGGGAGGGAGACATTTCTTTTTTGTTTTAGATGATGTTTACGTAGTTGATCAGAGTAAGAAGGATCCAAGGTTAGGCAAAAGTGAGTGTGATCTTTGTTTCTGAACTTATTTCTTCTTCCTGTTTTTGGAAGTAGGAAGGAGTTAAGGGGAGAAGCCACACCCAGCCTCCCAACCACCCCAGTCACCTGGGGATGGAGAACAGTCACCCAAAACCAACTTGGGGTTCCAATGTGGTACACATGCCAAGGGTTCTGCTCAGGTGCTTGTGATAGTTCTGAAATGCTGTCGATCTTGCTGATCTATGGATGAGGAAACCCTTCCAATGTCCGTGGGCCGACACAGTCCACCTTGGAATCTCCATTCACCCATGTATTTGCTGTCATCGTTTGACTGGGGTAGTTGTTCAATTTATTCTGTTCTCCTTTCTCTGCTCTGATACCAGATGTCCTCTGCAGGCCCCAGTAGGCTGCCATATCCTCTATGTGCACCAAGGCCTGCCATCCAGCCTCAGACCTTTACATTGAGGAGGACCAATTCTCATGGGTGGGCCCCTGTATCTGTGCCAGGCAATCCAGGCCCCACTACACTTCCCGTTCCCAGAGCTCACAGACCCTGTTCCCACCACTCAGGCAGGCCCAAAGACCTGGACTAAGTGACCTGGGCCCCTCCAGACCCCAGCAAGGAGACATTTCAAAAGCAGAGAGCAACAGGACATCTCTGCTAGAATTTGGGTGTCAAGGCTGCCCTCCACCTGTCCCACTTGAGGTTGTAAGGGTTCCAAGTGTCTGGGGACCTCCAGTCACCCGGAGAGGTTTGATACATGAGGACAGAGGTGCAAGGACACGGGACAGGTTCCAGCCTGACTGCTCCACAGGGAGTCCCTGGCTCTTGGTTCATATCATGATGGCTGCTTAAGACTAGGAACTAGGGCCAATGTGCAGTGGGCAGCAAGCTGGGCTGTGCTCCTCTCGTTCGAGCTCTCAACCAGACATACAGGCCCAGGAACATGGACAGATTCACACAGCTGGCCATATTCTGCTCTTTCTTGAGTTCCTGTTGGGACAGGCCAGCCCCAGGGACCAGGGCTGGATTTTGTATAATCTGATCCCTTCACCTGACACCCCACTCACGACCTCCCTCTTCTATCCCTCCTCTGAGGCCTTGCCCACCGTGTCCCACTCACCAAGACCAGTCTGCTAACCTGCAGATATATGGGGTACAGAGCCCTGAGGGCTTGAGTAGACACCTGGGAAACACAGACTCCAGGAGGGCTGCCGACCCAGGGCTTGAGAGCAGGAAATCAGGGGCAGGATATGTGCACTGTGGTGGGAAGCAGGGGATGAAGTGGTGGAAGCCACTGATTAGAACACCCACATGCTATATGAGGGTGTCTGGTTCAAGACCCAGACTCCACTACACTTCCAACCCACCTTTCAGCTTGTGTGCCTTGAAAGCATCAAATGATGATGGCTCTAAAGTATGTGGGACCCTGACACTCCATGGGAGACCCAGGTGGAATTCTAGGCTCCTGGATCCAACCTGGCCCAACTTCAGCTCATATGGGGATTTGGGAGTAAAGCCCCCAAGCCCCAGAAGAAGGATCTCTTTTGGAAGATCTCTCACTCTCTCTTTTCTGTTACTCTGTCTTTCAAATAAACTTTTTTTTTTCCTTGTGGGGGCTCAGGCTGCACCTGGTAGGAGCTCTCCAGAAGAAGAGGTAGAAGGCATTTCTGAGCATGAGTAACCAGCACTGTAGGGAGGGGTTAGCAAGTCAACTTGATGGTGCTGCTGGCTGAGGCTGGACCAGCACAGTACCCAGAACACCTCTCCAGGTGTCAGGAGAGCTGGGTGCCAGTCCATTATCTCACTAGTAGGAAGTTCACGTCCCATGACCCCCCAAGGGATTGAGGGCACGGAAACAGTTGATATTTAACAGTTCCCTTTCTGGTAACAGCATATTGGGAATTTCTCCTTCTGATAGCTCAGGCTGTACCTCCCCTAAACTCAGCCCCACCTCCTGTCCTGGACCTCCAGGCCAAGTTCTCCCCCACAACACCAGGGGGAGCTATGCCCATGCCCCAGACAGGCACCTCAGCTCAAGTTCATGGACAAAGCTGTGTGCCCAGGTGCCGGATGGGCCCCTAACATTGGGAAACTTCAAATTGTCTCAGGGGCACATCACTCCAGCCCTCGACCACTACAACATGACAGAATGGCCAAGATCTTAACTTATGACGTGTTTTTTAAAGATGGGTTTTTACGTATATGAAAGGGAGAGAGAGAGAGAGAAATCTTCCATTTGCTGATTCACTCCCCAGATGGCTACAACAGCTGGGACTGGGCCAGGTGGAAGCAGAAGCCAGGAAGTCTATATTACTCTCCCACACTGGTGGCAGGGACTGGATCAGAAGTGGAACAGCCGAGATTGGAAGCAGCGGTCATATGGGATGCCCATGTCACAGGTGGCAGCTTAGCTTGCTGCAAATGGCCAAGTTTTGTGTTATAAGGAAGGATATCTTTGTCTTCCCTGCTCAGATCTGGCCCCAGGGAGGGACAGGGACCTGGACTGGGCATTTTTGCCAAGAACTTCTTGGCATCCCTGGTCCACCTGCTTTCTAGGCAAGACAAGACTCAGCAGTAGGATTCAAATCTTTTAATTTGGGGCTGACTTGGAGGACCAGCTCCCATTACTCTTTCCCCTTCCTTCCCTAAGTCCCCCTCTCTTCTGTCCAGGGCTCCATCAAGGGCCAGAATCCAGAGCGCGAGGCTCCACAGATGCATGTCCAGGGATGTCTCAGACAGGCACCTCTGCAGGTCTGAACTCCAAGAGAGATATGCCTAGACGTCACCATCTTGGGCCTCACTGCAGCAGGGGGCCACTTAATCCCAGAGTCACTGCGGATCCCCTGTGAAGAAGGAACAGGGTAGGGGAAGCAATATCAGAACCAAGTGGCTAGGACAAGGGAGGGGACACAGCCACTTGGAGCACAGCACTCACCTTGGGTGGCCCTAGGCGCCAACTCAGTCCGGTAGGTCTTAAAAGCATCATAGGCAAAGACAGAAACCAGAATGATGCCAAAAACCTGCAAGAGAGCACAACAGGGGCTACTACTGGGCCACTGGGTTAGGAGTCAGGGAGGTGGGTGACCCAGGAGGGCAAGGGATGAGTCAGGGCCTGCGTGAGGTGTACACACACCAGCCAGAGACCTGGGGTTGGGTGGCAGAGCCCCACAGGTGGCAGAGCCCCACAGGGCTAGACTCACAAAAGCAGCTATGGCAGCTCCATCCCGGGATGTCACAGCAGCAAAGGACACCACCAAGAAGATGATGATGGCACTGATGCAACGGAGGAAGTCCTAGGGGGGCAGTTTGGGGGGTGAGGATCACAGAGGTACCATGAGGCAAGGGTAATGCCCTGTGTTCTCCAAGCATTCTGAATCCCTATGTACAGACACCACTGGACATGCCATAGAACACTCCTGAGAGCGCGAGACCACACTGCTACCCAAGGTATGCAAGCAGACGGACCCAAGAGCCACCAGGGGGAGGAACTAGGGACAGACCCATGCACAGCAGCTTGAGGGAGGTAGCAGGGCAGGACTGGCTGGGGGTGGATGAACCCTGCTGAGTGGACCCAAGGGATTGCCTCTTGCCCCCAGTGGCTGAGAAACCAGTGTGGACCCCGGCACAGTTCTGAGTGCAAGGTACAGTGGCATGGGGCAAAGCCAACACACATAGGTGTAGAACAGGAGGGCTGGGGGAGGAGGAGGCAGTCCCTGAGTCCAGAGGGAGGTGGGCCTGGTTCCTCACCAAGCAGGGCCAGTTGAGCCGGTCAAAGCGCTGGTAGTACTGGGTGGCATAGAGGAAGAGGAAGGCAAGTGTGATGAAGAACTCCAGCAATGCAGCAGCCATGTAGGCAGAGATGGAGGCCGTGAAGCAGATGAAAATGATGAAAGTCAGAGCCTGCAAAAACAAGTATGGTTTGGCAGGAGGGTGGTGCCAGGAAGGAGACATGGGTACCAGCCAGCCCAGGCCTCGCCCACCATGAGAGCTGTCCTGCCCCCTGCCTGGCCCCCACCACCACCCATCCTTGGAAAGAGGAAAGAGCCTGGCAGGTGTCCCCAGCCCACTGGCATCAAGAGCCACCATCTAGGCTGTCGCTCAGCGGAGGTCCCAACAGAAGTTGCAGTTTGGGCCAAGCTACCTGGCTCCAGGAGTCTATTCCAGAAGGATTCCCAGAAGCAAGAAACACCATGTGCTCACCTGCCACAGGACTTGCACCCATAGCTGCCCTATACTCCAGTCCTCTATAAGGACTATTCCCAGAAGCCTCCAAACTTTCTCCTATCAAGGCCAGAGAAGGCTTAGAAGGCAGGCGCCTCCCGGTGGGTTCCTGGGGAGTCCTCAGCCCTGGGCATGTGCAGTGTCTGTGACCTCACGGTGTCTCCCCAGGGATTCACAGGCATGGGCAGCAGACACCAGATAAGCTGCGGCTACAGGAAAACTGTTCACTCTGATAGCCAGACCCCAAGGTCATGGTAAGAAGCAGCCCTGTTAGAGGGCAGGGGAGGGCTGGCAGGCACCATAGCCTCCCATCCTCCATCTCCCACTTACTCAGTGTCCCCAAAGGCTGTCCTCAGTCTAACTTCAATCCTTCCTGCTGCAACTGAAACCTGGAGGTGAGGGCTGAGCAGCCAGGGCAGAGGGAATGTTCGAGGGAACTACCACGCGGGAGAGGAGGGATAAAGGCATGGAGGGTCAGGGAGGCAGCTGTTACCAGCTCGATCTCCAGCAGGATGCCTTTGAAGGAGGACAGGAAGGTCTTGTCCACGGCGAAGCCCTGCAGGGCAGCAGCTGCCCCCTCTTCAGGGGGCCGGTCTCTTCTATCCCAGGCACCTAGCATCTCTCCACAGGAGGCCACAGGGTACACTTTCGCCCCCTCTCCGCCACCAGCAGCAGCTCAAGAACCCCCAGCTGGCTAGCTAAGGTAGCAGACAGGAGTGAGAAGGCACTTGGAGAAACCTGCGAGTGAAGCAGGAAGCCTCCCCCCAGGGGCCTTCACCCCACTGTTCCAGATCTTCAGTGTGGCCACACCAGCCCAGGGAGAAGAGGAGAGACAGGAGAAGGAAGGGAGGATGTGGGAGTGGCCAATCCCTCCCCTTACTCAGAGCCCAACCCAGTCTGGAGAAGGGCAGAAGGAACTGGGAGAGGGTGGAACCTGGAGGTAAGCCAGAAATGCAGGTGAGGGGGGCAGGACCAGGAGTCCCCTAGAGACCTAAGTCCGAAGACGTTTATGTCCCCTTCCTCTAACCTTAGCCCCCTTCCTTGGCCAATCCTGTCCCGGTTTTCCTTTTAGAGAGGGTGGGACTAGAGCCCAGCTCAGGCCCAAGTCAAGCCATAGCCAGGACCAGAGACAAAGACGGATTGTTGGGGGTACAAGGGGGTGCTGTGTGTCTACTGCGGTGCCTCAATAGTCCTCTGTCTTCAACACCCTGGGAGCGCAGCCTGATCCCCACCCTGGGCCTGGGAGGGATGCAGCAGGAACTCTGGAGGGCCAGAGAGTGGGTGATCAGGAAACCCCAGGGGTGGGTGCATAGAAGGGACCCAAGTAGGAGACTACTGATGCATGCCAGAGACAAACCAGACCCTTTTTAAATACAGCTGTTTATTGGGAGGAATCTGCCTGTGTGCAGCGCTTAGAGTCGACAGCAGTAACTATACAGGGAGTGTGGGAAGTGGGTCTCATGGGGTGTCTGATGCCTGCATGAATGAGGGCATGAATAAACAGATAAAATGAGGGGCTCTCTCCTGGCCAAGGAGGAGAATATCAAGAAAGTGCCTGTGCTGGGCCAGGGCAGCTGGAGCGGGGAGGGAGGGTTATGGGGATACAGGGACAGGAGCATGTTGGCCTCCAGCAATGGGCTGAGCAGTGACAGGCAGGGCCAGGATAAGGCTTTCCACAGCAGCAGCGGCAGCCGCCGCCACCATCAGCAGCAGCTGCCTCCTTCACAAAGTGCTTCCAAAAAGTGCAAAAGTGTATGTGTTTCTGCCAACCACACCCCCAGCCCCACCCTTGGCATGCTGAGTCAAGATCCCTGTTGGTCCAGGGGGTGCTTTGGAACCACATGGCCAAGCGTTCAGGTGTCCTGGCCACCACCACCACCGTGGTAGGTGATCAGAGACCTGGCTTCAGTTCTTTGTATAAGGGTGGGCCTTGCTCAGACAGAGGGACTAGGTCATCACCCGGGGCCGAACGCACACACAGGCCAAGGAAACTTGGTACAGCCGGCTCTCCAGGCAATAGCCCCGGGGGGCACCATGCTCCCGGGAGCATGGTCTTCGATAGAAGACAGTCTGGTTGTGATAGAGCAGCTCTGAGTTGCCCAGGGGGTCCATGTCGCTACCCGTCTGGAGGCTGACACAGTGCGGGCACAGGCAGCGGGCGTGGTACAGGTCCTGGGGCAGCCGGTTCAGGTCTCTGTCCAACCTGCATGGGAGGCACTGGTCAGGCCCTGCAGAGAGCCTGAGAGCCTGGTTTCCTGTCTTAGTCCTGACACCTGCTTGCTATGTGACTTGGAGCCAATCACCCTCCCCCCAGCTCCTCCCTGAGACCCCCACTGGAAATGGGGTAAGAGATGAAAGGACAGTATTCCAAATGGTCCCTTAAAGATGGGGAAGGGAATAGGTGCCTGCTTGGGCTCAGCTCCCATAGGCCACATACTCAGGGCTATGGCCTGAGCATTAGTGTATCACTACACTCCTTATTTGCCATTACTACAGAAGTAAAAATTGCTCCCACAGGCAAGTATAGCTATCCCAAATCCCCAGAGGGTGCCATCCTCAGACACTGCCCAGGTGTAAGCTAGAGGTACATTTGAGAGTGCATGAGGCTAGGACTTATTCTGGAAGGCTCTTTCATGGTAAACAAACAAATAATTAAATAAATACATAAACAAACAAACTTGAAAGCCACTGAAAAGTAGATGCTCCAGAAATCTGCAGAGCATGCGCCCCACAGACCCTGGCAGAGTGTGGTTTGACTAGCACAGCAGTTCTCAGAGACATACTCTGCAAGAAAAGGGCTCTGTGGTCCAATGAGCTTGGACCACAGAATTCAACATACTGAGGACACTGGGAATCATCAGTGGGTAGGAGCTGAACCAGCCTTTCCTAAACCTACCAGGCATCATCACATTTTTCTGAGTGTTCCGTGGGACACATTTTGGGGAAGACCAGTTGAATGGGAGTCACAACCTCCCAGTAAAGGAGTCTGGGCACAGCTGGGTCAGCCATTTGGTACCCAGCCAGTCTTCTGGGACTGGGACATCCCAAGCTTTGGGACCTGGCGTGTTCACCCTGGGTCTCACCTCCTCTAAAGCTGACTCCTTCCCTAACTCCAGTAAACTCCATCCCTCCCCAAAGCCAAGGCTAAGTAGAACTGGATTTACAGAGTGTGGGCAGCTGGAAAGCTGGAGACAGAGATACTGAATGGGATTCAGAGCATTCCGTTCACAAAGTTGCCCCCAAGAGTTGAGACCTTCACTGTCTTAATGCACCTGTAACCCTTCATCGCTCAGGCTGGGAGCATCTGATATGTGGCTGCTCCATGCCCATGTCACAACAGCACTCCCCAGCATTTTAGTGAGAAGAGGTGGGTTGTTGTGGGGATGAATAGAGAAGGAGAGAATTGACTTGTATCTATCTTCCTCCCTTTGAGCTGCCCATTAGCCTACTGGATTGTATCTCACTCTACAGATGGAACCAAACCAACCAACCAACACTGAGTTTGGAAAACTTGAGGCATTGGACTATACTCACACAATAAGAGTCAGAGCTGGGATTCCAAGGCAGGCCTTGAGGAGGTCCCAAATCCTTGGGCTGTCCCAGATGGGAAGGGGCAGTTGTGCTTGAATTGGATGGGCCTCATACATGCCATGGGGACACAGTTAGACAACAGGGAGGGGGCAGCAGACTCACTCGTATCTCCAGGGGGAAATGGCCCTGCTGTTGAGGGGTCCATCTTCACTGGCCCTGCAGGATTCTTCGGAGAAGGGGATGCTGGCCGATGCTGGCTCTAGCACAGGCGTGGGCACTGGGGACCACTGCAGCCACTCCCTAGGAAGGTGTTGTCCTTGACTGGAGCAGCAGGTCGGCCAATAGTGTGCCTGACTGAGGGTGTGGGTCCCCATGGCCATTGCCAAGAATGCCACCACCTGTGGAAAAGGCCAACAACAGGACAGCAGTTAGTTCACCCCAGCCTCTGCTCCCAGCAGCTCCACCCAGCTGCAGCCTCACACCTGAGGCAGCTTCAGCTAGGTCTGTGCTCCACCCCGCTCACAGGGGCCCGTCTGTCACACTCACCTGGTACATGCTGGATGCTGTGCCCTCTCCGCAGCTGCTGTGCTGATGAGCAGGGCCTTCCAGGCAGTCTGGCAGAAGCAGGTTTGGAGTCCTGGTTTTATTCTCAGCAAACCTGTTTTGTATATTCAAATTTATTTCCACTATCTCTTGTAGGGAGGGACTAGAGATTAAAAATACCAAACCCAAAAAACCTGACCGCCTTTCCAAATGCTATCCAGGGAGATGTTGATCTCAGGACAGTTGGAATGACAGCATCATAGGCCTAGTGGCTGATTGGGTACATTCTACTCTTTCCTCTTCCGCTCCTGTCATCCACCCCCTCTTTGGAGGCAGGAGGTAGAGGTCAAAATAATTAAGTTCTATTATTTTTTTACACCTTGATGGACTGGTATCATGGAGATTTCTCTAGTGGCATAGGCCACTCCAAATTAGGACTCTGACCTTTTTGTAAGAAATGTTCTTTCCAACCCAAGCATGACCTCTCCGATGTCCCACCCATCTATATATGATGCCCTTGACTCCTGTGATAACATAATATCCTGTGATACTGTGATTCCACTCACTGTATATACTTCTGGCACTCATCCTGGATGACTTTTCTCCTGCTATCCCTTCACTATCCATGGCCCTCTCCACACTTTCCCTGACCTTCTCCTTGCAATAGGATTGCTGGTCCAATGCCACACAGTAGCCAGGCAAGCTCTGATTTTAAGAATGTGATGGTAGATGGACCAAGTTGGATGGGAACAGCTGGGTGGACCCAGCACAACGGCTCAATTGGTTACTTCTCCCTTTATGAGTGCTGGGATCCTGTATGGGTGCTGATTCATGTCTCAGCTGCTCCACTTTCCATCCAGCTCCCTGCTTGTGGCTGGAAAAGCAGTACAAGATGGCCCAAAGCCTTGGGACCCTGCACCCACGTGGGAGACTCAGAAGAAGCTCCCGGCTCCTGGTTTCTGATCAGCTTAGCTCTGGCCATTGCAAGATCTTTCTTTCTTTCTGTTTCTCTTTCTCTCTGTAAATCTGCCTTTCCAATAAAAATAGATCTATCAATAAAAATAGATCTATCTGTTTTCTAAAGAAAATGGTGAAGTGAGGACCAAGAGGAGCAAGACAGCACCTAAAACCCAACCAGCAAGAGACCTTGGTGCCAGGACTAACCTGCCGCACCCCACACAGGACCGTGAGGCTAAGCTCCAGGACAGGGACCACAGCATCTTCAGCATCATGGGCCACTGTCAACCCCAGAAAGACCCAGAGCTGAGTCTAACCCCAAAGACATGGGCCAACTGGGGCCAGTTCACTTGGGAGATACTGGCTGGCAACAGGCCAGAGCCCACTTCCCTCTGGGTGTTTCTCTTCGTCCTAGCACCCAGGGGTGCCCCTCTCCTTCCACCCTCAGCCTCACCCACAGACATTGTTTACAATGTGGCTTCCTGCTTTGCATGTGCTTTCCCTCAGAAAATACTGTTCTAGTAACCAGGGACTCGGGAAATAAACAGAAGGAGCCAGGAATAACCCAAACAGCAGCAGGAATGGGGAATCCTCAAGGCTCCAGGGGCCAAGCAGCCCCAAAGGAGAGAAGCAATGGAGGGGCTGCTCTAGTGGGTCCCTGGAGGCCTGGGGCCATGGGATTAGGTGGGAACGGGGAGGTTGGCAGGGCTCTCTAGGAGAATGGGCAGTGGCTAGAACAGAGATGCTTAAATAGCAATAAAGTCATGGGACTGGCATGGTGGCAAAGATGGTTTAAGTCTTGGCTGCTCTGCTTCCAATTCAGCTCCCTGCTAATACTCTTGGGAAAGCAACAGAAGATGGCCTAAGTGCTTGGGCCCCTGCCACCCATGTAGAAGACCTGCATGGAGTTCGGGCTCCCAGCTTCCATCTGGCCTAGCCACTATAGTCATTTGGAGAGTGAACTAGTAGATGCAAGATATTCTTTCTCTCTCTCTCTCCCTCTCCCTCTCTTTCTTCCTCTCTGCCACTCTCTCTTTCAAAGAAACAAAGCAATGAGGCTGGGAGTATCATCATCCAACTCCCACTGCCCATCTTTGCCCCAGAACCTCTGAACTTCCATTCACTGTATATACTTCTGACACTCACAGGTGCCAGATGTGGTCATGAGCTCTGGACCAGCCTCATCTTTACTCTTATAACAAACCGGATATGGAGCCATTATCCCAATCCTATAGATGAGAAAACTGAGTGCAAACAACATGTAGAAACTCACCCCAGGCCACACAGTTAGAACAAAGCTGAACCCTAACCAACACCAAATCTGAGTTCCAGGCCTGAAGATGTCACACTTCACTGACCGCAAATGGAAAGGGAACCCCCGCAGTGTGCACTTCTCCCATTCACCTGGGCTGGGGCTGGACCAGTCTTGGCTACACCTGCTTGAGGTCACATAGCATTCCTTCCCACTTAGACATAAGCCCTGCTGGCTGGGATTTACCTTTCTGGCTTTCTGTTCCCCAGCCCTGGGCCTCGTGCATGACCTCCAGCTGGCTTCCGGTGTTCTTTGGCAACCCCCAACCCCAGAACAGACTCTTAGGCAACACTGGTTCAGGAGAATTGAAATCCTACAGATCTCCCTCCTAAACCAATGCCAAGGTAGCAGAGCTGGAGCCTGACCTTGGTCAGATCTGCTGATCTCCTGTCTTAGGTAAGAGGTAGTTACCAAAGGAGCTGGAAGTGATGCCAGCTTCTTGTTTGCTTTGATGATGTTGCAGAATGGACACTGGCCTGGGTTGTGGGAAACATTGCCATTCCAGCGTGGCCTTTGGTGAACCTCCCTGCCTTGGCAGCCCAAGGCAGAGGAAATCTGTGACAGGCTCAGGGAGGACCCCTCCAAGCATACCATCTCTCCACCACCACCCTATTTGCTGACGTGTCTTGACCTGGGATCCCGGGCTCTGGGCCACATGCTCCACCTGCATGCCCGGCAGCCCCGCCTCTGCCCTTATCTCTGCAGCGGTTTTGTGGGACTCCCTTCCATGAGAAACATTTTCCAGAGGGTTTTCCTCCTGGGGTAATTAGTTTTGGAATCCCTGACTCATTTCAGCTTCCAGGGAATCCCTGGGGGTGTGAGACATGGGGGTGGCCACCAGGAGAACCCCTGAGGCTGGGAGCAAAGGAAAGTCTGCCCAGCACCTGACATCAAGGCTACTGTGCCGACACATCCCTGCCTGGCTGGGCCTGAGCTGGCAGCCAAAGAGGATTGCTGGGATTTCAACTCCTGGAACCCCTGAAAAAATAAGTCGGTAGGTACCTCCCAGGAGAGACGGGGAAGTTGTCATGGAACATTCCTCCTTTCCTTTAATGTGGACCTGTTCCTGGGGCTTGCAGGTTATCAAGCCATTGCTGCCCTGCCCCTCCTCAGAAAGATCTTCAAGTTCTTGCCTGCTGCTTCTAGGTTCAACTTCTAACCAACTCTTGACCTAGGGCCTTCTCTCTACTCCTCCTCCACACGGATAGAAGTGTGTGTGTGTGCGCATCTGGGCAGGTGGGAGTGGCAATGATTGTATAGCCAAAGGGTGCCAAAGGGCTTGGGGCTCTGAATCTCAGCTCCTACCACCATCCTGGGACCACAGGACTCAGTAGGGTCTGCCACAGCTTGTCTGTACCATCCTCATCTGAGGCAGGGATGTGGGATGACACAAAGATGTTCCAGGGGCTTCTGCACCTGCTGCCAAATAGATGCTGCTCAGTTTAGTGCACCCTGTAAATTGGATACACTCCCTGTATCCAGTTACTGGATGATTGCTGCCTGGCCTAGCTGGGAGCCTCCAAAACCTTGCTCTTATGTTCTGACTGGGAGCCACCATGGGACTGGCTGTTTACTTGTTTTGTTTCGTTTCGTTTTGTTTTGTTTTTTAAACCACATTTATTTCATTTTATGACACAGTTTCATAGACTCTGGGATTCCCCAACCCTTCCCCTCCACATTGAATTCCTCCACATTGTTACAGTAGTACAGATCTTAACGAGTCATGATTCCTTCATTGCGGGCATGGACCATGCAGAGAGTCCAGCATCTTATTGTCCAGAAAAATCAACAGTTTCATTGGAAAAGGGTCTGAGGTAAGAGTGTGCAAAAACAAGTACCAGGACATGCAGAACCCCCAAGCTAGGAAGCAGGGAGCAGTCCAAGGATAAACAGGAGAGAAGGCTGAGATCAGGTGGAAGAGGGTATCAGGGACCGGATCACTCAGGATCTAACAGGTTCTGATACAGCCTTTGGATTTCACACAAGGTCATTTGGAAGGATCAATCGGATTCAAATAGGATTGGCATGATGGGAGTTTCTCAAGGGCGGATACTGTGTCCATGACTTTCTGGCATCCCCACAGGGATGGTGCCAAATCACAACATCGTTAGTTGCTTTGGTCCAACACTTGACAAGGTCATGAGCCAGACCCTGTTCTCAGGATTCTATTAACCCTTACAACAGCTCAGACAAGGAACCCAAGGGTTCCAAGAGGTCCTGTGGCTGACCAAGGTCACGAGCTAGTGTCAGAACCCTGACACCCAGGGTGCTGTGAGTCCTAAGAGAACCAGGAGAACTTAGCACTTGAAACATTTGAGAAGAGGCCCAAAAAGTCTCAGCTGGAAGGAAAAGAAGAGTTGGTTGGATAATGCTAGAAAGGGGAAGAGATGACAGGAATCTGGAGCGCCAGGTGGAAGGTTCCTTGCTTTCTGTTTCCTGAACACACACAGGCAAACCCCGAGGTCTTGGCTGCCAACTGCTCGGCCTGGATCTCTCTCCAAGCAGACTACAGCCCAGAACTCTCCTGGAACAAAACAGACCCAGGAATATTGAAGGAGGGAAGGGCGAAAGAAGGAAGAGTGGGACCTGTCCAAGGCCTCAAGCTAAGTTAGCCGGGCCTGCTGTAACCTCCAAGTGAACGAAGTTATGCATGGTTATCTTCCAGCTTATATACTTGAAATTTCCATCTGCTCAATATAAACACTAAGAATCTACTACAGCTTTGCAACCCTGTCTGGCATCCTGCTTTTCGAAGAGGAGCAATGCCCAAAGTAGGACACAGGAGTCCCTCCCATTTCTGACAAGCTCTGCTCTCAGTCCCAAAAAGAACGGGAGGAGGGGTGACTGGCGCGAAGTAGATACACCAAGGAGTCATCATAAGGAGAGTAGGGAATGGGAGGCCCAGCGTTGAAGCCAAGGTTGCTGGAGCTACATGCCATATCTTCCCTTGGTGTCCACTGTCTCAATCCTGCACCTTGCAGTAGGGCTGACCCAGGCTGGGGAGAAGAGCAGGCCCGGGCTGGCAGAGGCAAGCAGAACGCTGCCCCGCCCGCCACTCCGGAGCCAAGCGCTCCACACTTCACGTTGCTCCCCAAGGCCACAAGTCCGATCCAGCGCGCCTGGCCCAGGCCAACCCGACCGCCCCAAGAACGGCTGGGCCGGCCCTGCCACCCCTGCCACGGCTGCACCACGCCACAGAGAAGCTAGCTCGGCGTTGGACCCTCACGGCGGAAGAAGGCTTGCGCTCCCTCCTGCCCAGACAGGGACAGAAGTGGGGCCGCTGAAGGGGAGGCTGAGAGCCCCGCGGAGCCGGGGCCGGAGCGAACCACGCCACGCCGCCCGGGAAAGGCAGGGGGTGGCCGCCAAGTCCCGAGGAAGAAGGCACCAGGCGGGGCCGAGTGGCGGGGCTAGAAGGGTCCGGGGCTGAAACCCAACACCGGCCGCGGGAAAGCTCGGCCCCCTTTCTCCTCCTCCCCCTCCCCTCCCTCCTTTCTCTTTATCCCCGGGACGCAGCCCCGCGCCGGAGAGGAGAGGGCCCGAGGGGAGGAGGAAGGAGCTGCACCGCGGGGCGGTGGGACCCCGGGAAGAGGAGCGGCGATCGCCGGGAAGCCTGGTGACCTGGCCAGCGCGCGCTCTGCGCCCCCATCCCGAGCGAGCGCAGCGGCCCCGGGCCCCTACGCCCCCTGCGCCTAATCGCTGCTCTTTGCCTTGACGCGTGGCCTTTCTCTTCTTCCCAGAGGCACCTGCAGCTCCCCCGAGGGGCCCTGCCAAGGGTGCATGTGAGCGGCGACGGCGGAGCGGAGGGTGGGCGCCAGCTCCTGGCTCTGCGCTCCTGGGCCAAAGGCTACAAAGGGGCTGGGTTCCCCTGCCACCTTTAGAGTGGGCGGCGCGCGGGGTAGGTCGAGGGCCTCTTTCAGGGGTACCTGCAGGACAGTTGGGGTCCGTCCGCGGCCCCCCACGAGGAGCCCAGGCACTACCCGCAGGCCGCGGGAACACGCTGCAAGCCCCGCGGGCGGGAGCGCGAAGCTGCCTCGCCGCCGGGGAACAAGCGCCTGGACAGAGGGCAGTCTCTGCGGCCATCCCCACCTCAAGGGACTACGCTTTCCGAGGCTCCCGGAGCCAGCCTGGCCCCCTGTCGCCCACTTGGGCTAATTTGAAGAGAAACGCGCATCATTCCTCCCCAGGTGGGCCGGCCGTTGTGTGCCCGGCCACCACGATCACAGTCCCGGGAGCAGCGCTCTCCCGGCGTGTCCTGCGGGCGGACGGGCGGGCTGGGCCGCCAAACTCGCTCGGCCGGCCCAACCGCCTCGGCGGCTTCTGCTAGTCTTCGCGGCTGCTCTGAGCGGCCTGGAGAGACGTCGAGCACAGCCCAGCTCCTGCCCCTGCGCCGCCCCTGGGAGGGAGCTTGCGGGCCCAGGGAGTCTGGGAAGTCTAGGTCGACCAGCTGCGGGGGTCCTGGCGGTGGCCATAGGTCTCGGGAAGCCAGTGGGCCAGCACAGAGCGCGCGCCCTTGGATGCGCTCCCGCAGCGACGCCCCAGCCCGCCTCGCTCCTCCTTCCTGCCTAGGCAAGCTGCCTCCCATTTGGGAAGCTTTTGGGGCTTTTTTTTCTCCTCCAACCTCAGCGGAGGCCACTGATCAAGAGCCACGACCTAGGGCGGCCTCGTCGCGTGGAGGCCGCGGACCATGCTGCGAGGCAGCCACCGCTGAAATCAGCAAAACCCAGCCTCGCCTGAAGCGGGCTGCGCGCGGGAGGCCAAAGCCATGGCCATTGCCACGTCGGTGAGTCCACCAGCGAAAGCAGGGTGCGCAGCAGAGACCTCCTGGCCTGCCCTGCCCTGCGTTCCTGTCGCTTTTATTTCTGCCCTCTCTTTGTCCCTGGCCCTAGCTCCTTTCTTCAGGAGGCTGTGTCCCCCTCCTCTCACTTTTGTTCCCCTTCTCCCTCTCACTCTTTACCCCTGCTCCTCCAGATGCTCCTCCCCGCCCCCCTTGCTCCTTTTTTTTTTTTTTTTTTTTTTCTCTAAAGACTGCCTGGCTGGAAGGGAGGGGGTGAGTGTAGTGCGAGTCCTGTCCGCACCCTCTGGGCCAGAACAGATGGTCACTGGAGGCTGACGGGTTTATGAAGAAGGCAAGCAAAAGATTGGGCCCAAGTGGCTCCAGGGGCCTTCAGAGGCGGGTCTGCGATGAGTCCATCCTCCCCTTCCCCAGTCCCCACTCCACGGAGACTGGTGGAGGAAAGGGAGGAGCAGAGAGGAGGAGGGTGACCTGGCAGGGAGAAATAAAAAATAGGGGAAGGAGGGGGTGGTGATGTCAGCCAGCCTCAGGCCACTTTCCGGGGACTGGGGACAAAGGGAGGAGACAGCTGGCATGATGGGACAGTGGGAGGAGGTCTCCCAGGGTGGTTGGGCCCACTGCCACCCACATGAAGCCAGCCAACACTCCCCTCCTAAGTCAGCTGAGGCCTCTAGCGTGGGGGGTGGGGTGGAACAAGCATGGCCACACCCATCATCAATCACTCTATCATCAACTCTGGCCCTTGCAAGACCTAGAGATGTGGCCCCATTGGACAGAATTCAAACCTAGCACAGGGAGGAGCTCTCCACAGCCACACCTCTGTCTTCTGTGCTGCCCAACTGTAGCAGCCTGAGCCTGGGCCTCCTGCCTCCCTTCCCTAGGCCCCTTGCTGGGGATTCCCAGGGATGGGGAGGCAACCACCTGCTCTATACTGTTTCCCTGTAGAACTAGTGAAGGTAGAGACAGGCTGGTGGCCTCCCTGTAGTTCCTGCACTGTGTGATGGCTCAGGGCCAGGAAGGGGGAGGCCCTGGGGGGGAAGTGGAGGGCAGTGCCTCTGACCTGGAGATGCTAGCTCAGGAGTCAACTGGTCCACCTTGTGTCCCAGGAGGTAGCTTTTCTTTCCTGCAGAGGAAGGGAGCTTTTGTTATCCAGCTTGCAGAATCCTAACAGCATGAAGTATTTATTGAGCATTTACTATGCCTGGCCCTGTGCTAAGCTTTGTTACTTTTTTTTTTTTTTTGAAAATTTATTTTATTTGAAAGGCAGATTTACAGAGAGAGACAAAGCACTGGTTCACTTCCCAAATGACCACAGCAGCCAGAGCTGAGCTGCTCAGGAACCAGGAGCTTTCTCCAGGTCTTCCACATGGGTGCAGGGACCTAAGAGCATGAGCCATGCTCCACTGCTTTCCCAGGCCATAAGCTAGATCAGAAGTGGAGCAGCCAGAACACAAACAAGTGCCCATATGGGATGTCAATGCTGCGGGCAGATAATTACTTTGCTATGCCACAGCATCAGTGCCTGTTGTAATTTTTGGGTTGGCCTGACAACCTTGTGAGGATAACAATGTTACTATCCGAAATATGGATGTTCAGGTATGGATATGGAAATGGAAGTCTACAAAGGAGGACATCGAGGCTCAGAAAGGTTAATCAACACACCCAAAGACACCCAGTTTAAATAGGGGTGGCGGGGAGACAGAGTCAGGGTTTGGCACCAAGTCTGCTTTGCCTCCAGGACTGAGTACCTTTAACCCCTGGCCAGGTCCAAAACCCCAATTTAGGATTTGAAAGACAAGCACAGAGCAAACCAGGAATGTGTGCCCTCCAGTTAGTATGTTTCCTTTTGGTGGGACAATGCCTCTTGGAAGCTGAGTTTTATGGGTGGGAAAGCAGGCAGGAGAGCTCCGTGGCTCATTAGAAGCACTCAGTCATGAAGAGCTGGCACATGAGCCCGCCACCAGAGGGAATCAGCGGTCAGGAGACCAAGGGCATCGTCTGCCCGAGCCTACGAACAGCCTACCAAGGGATCCCTGGCCTCCTGGCCTGGAACCAAATGAATCCACATGGCTACATGGCCTGCCATGCTGCACTTCAACCCCACCACCAGGGACGCCCCCCCAGCAGGCATGGACATTGAGCAGTCGCAACTGAAACAGAAGCTAATTTGATGTATGGAGTAGTTTAAGCTTGAGTCTATCCAAAGACCTCTGGGACAGAGAGCCATGGAGGGTGACAGCAAAGGGCTGGGGAGTAGAAGGAAGGCCGCCCACATACCTCACTGTCTCTACTCTGGGATGTTCTGTGATTGTTGGGAGACCCTAGAGCGAGAGGCTCAGAGTGCAGGCTCTGAACTGAGCAGCCTGGAGTTCAAATCATGCTTCACCCACTGCATGGACCAGCTTGTGTATCATTTGCCAGCGTGGGGAAAAATGATGGCTCCTCTCACAAGAGTCTTAGTAAGAGTGAAATGGAATGAGCCAAGACTTGCATGGTAGCCAGAGACATCTTCTGCACTTGCTGTCAATCACCCACGCGTGGAGCCCTCGAGGGAGAACGCTTAGCTGCTCTGGCCACACTGCAAATAGGTCGATGAGCATTTGATCTCGCTTGCACACTCACACACATGTACACATGCACTAGTGGGCATACGCTTCTCTCTATGGCGACCTGGGCCTCCTATCGTGGAGCCCTATTCACTCAGACTGACAACAGAACAATCTCTTCAGTTTCTGTTTTCTCAGTCAGCACTCACTCCTGGATCAGGTACCCCCCGCCCCCAACCTCTGAGAGGGTCTCTTTGTGAGGAATGATGGCTTGGTGGGCGGGACAAGAGGAAGGCACAGAGTGTAATTGGGGGAAGGAGGAAGAAAGGACCTGTTTGCGAAGGAGATATTGTAAATGGCACAAAAGGACGCAGGGAAGTGTGCTGTAAGTACAGGGAGTAGTAAGTGCAAAGGCTCTGTCTGGGTCAGGAAGAAAATCTGTCCAGTTCAAGGAAGAAAAAAACATGGGTGATGGCCCAGAGACAAGACAGACCACAGTGCAGAGTTCCTGTCTTGGACCAGAAGCACCTGAGGGTAGGCAAGGACAGAGGGCAGCATCAGCTTGCACATGGGTGAAGAGCTCTCTCCTCCACAGGCCCAGCTGGCCCGGGCATTGTACGACAACACAGCCGAGTCCCCGCAGGAGCTGTCCTTTCGTCGAGGGGACGTTCTGCGTGTGCTGCAGAGAGAGGGTGCCGGGGGTCTGGATGGCTGGTGCCTATGCTCCCTGCACGGCCAGCAGGGCATTGTCCCCGCCAACAGAGTGAAGCTCCTCCCCGCCGGACCCACTCCCATGCCCGTCCTCTCCACGGGAGCACCAGGGCACAACCAAGAGGACCAAGAGGTGAGAGCTGCAGCCTCCCCAAACCCCAGCCCCGGCCAGGACACCCCTTTACCCCTGGACCCTGTCTCCCCATTGACCCCGTGCTGCCCCAGGCCCGTCCCTACCTTCTCCAAGCTGATGCTGATTTTCTGGCCTACCTACTTATCTCGATCCCTAGGTGTACGTGGTGCCACCCCCAGCCCGACCCTGTTCTGTCCCGAGACCTCCAGCTGGAACTCGCCCACCCTCCCCTGACCCCATCTACAAGGTGCCCAGAGGCAATGGGACCCAGCCGGCCACCCTAGGAGGGAGTGCTTTAGAGGTGAGGCCTGGAGGCCTACGTATTTAGTGGCTGGTCCTCGGTGGGCTGGGGGTAGGAGGTAGTGTTGGACAGTCCTAGGACAATGTTCCACCTTTTCCCTGCAGGTCTACGATGTGCCCCCCACTGCCCTCCGGGGACCCTCCAGTGGCCCCTACGACTCACCCACCTCTTTTGCCCACCTCCTGACCTGGGGCACTCCAGAGCCCTCTAGAGAGGACGAAGCACCCTATGATGTACCACTGGCCCCCACATCACCCACAGAGTCGGAACCTGACCTGGAGTGGGAGGGGGGCCGAGAGCCGGGCCCCCCGCTCTATGCTGCCCCCTCCAACCTGAAGCGGGCCTCTGCACTCCTCAACCTGTATGAGGCACCTGAGGAACTGTTGACAGATGGGGACACCAGGGACACGGAAGAGGGCATCTACGACGTGCCCCTACTGGGGCCCGAGCCGCCCCCTTCACCAGAGCCCCCGGGCACCTCAGCCTCCAAAGGCCTGGACACCTTGTCCCAGCTTCTGCCCAGAAGCCCCCCACCCCAGCCCAGGCCCCGGCTGCCCTCAGCTGAAAGCCTGTCCCGCCGTCCCCTGCCTGCCCTTCCTGTCCCAGAGGCCCCCAATCCCTCTCCAGCTCCCTCTCCTGCCCCTGGTCGCAAGGGCAGCATCCAAGATCGGCCCCTGCCTCCACCCCCACCCCGCCTGTCTGGCTACGGGGGCCCTAAGATAGAGGGAGACCCAGAGAGCGGGGAGGCGGAGGACAACCTCACAGGACCCCAAAACGAGTATGAGGGCATCCCGATGACTGAGGAATACGACTATGTCCACTTGAAGGTGAGCTATGAGGCTGCTCCCCCTACCCCTACCTCCTAGCTTTCCATGCTGCAGCCTGGGCCCTTCACCCTCCCAGACTCAGCCTAGCAATCCACCAGGACTCTCAAATGTGGAGTCAGAAGTCTGAGGGCCTGGAGAGGGGTGGAAGAGACCACACAGACCACCCTGCCTGGCTCCCTGCTTCTGCACTGAAGCCTGCTCCCCTCTGCAGGGCATGGAGAAAGCTCAGGGATCCAGGCCCCAGGAGAATACCTTCCCCGGGGAGCCCAAGCTGCAGGAGCAGCAGGTAACCCCTGGCGTGTGGGGCTGGACTGGGGGAGGAGGAGCAAGGAGGGAATTTGACTAGATGAAGGGGAGAGCTGGCCTGGTCCTAGAGAGGAGTTAGAACTAAGCAGGAGAGAGCTGTAACTTGGAAAAGAATGTTAGAAATTCAGAAAGACAGGAAAGAATGTGTTGGAAAGGAGTCAGGAAAGCAAGCAGTGAGGAGCACAAAGAACCCCTGGGCTGCTGGTCAGACTTCTGGGTCTCACTTCAACTGCACATTCCTGGGGCCCTGAAGGACCTGGCTCCTCAGCCCTGCTCCTCCGCTAAGAAGCCCATCAGTTAAACTCGCTGGGCCTCAGGGAAGCGAGGTGCTTTCCTTGACCCCTGTCTCCAGCAGTTGGGAGACAATAGCTGCCATTTATCAGCTGTTTACCAAGCAGCAGGCCCTCCGTGCACTGCATGGACCATGTGCCACGGCAGCTCCTACCGCATGTTCTCTCGACCCCTGCACTGCAGCCCTCTGGGGTGCACACTGGACATGCACTAACGGTGCACTGGCCACTCACTGCACCCACCTGCTGAGTACTTGACGCGTGTCTCGCCAACTGCAACAGGCTGCAAATATACTACTCATCACAGCCTTTGCAGGTTTCCCCAAAGGGAAAGCTCCATAATTTCCCTACTGATTACTTATGGAAAACATTGCCCATTCTACATGTTCAGGTAGCTAAAATGTGCCCATTCCTTTTCACTTGTCTGAATGTGGATAAGTTTTCAATTTGCCCTGTGGTTCACCTTACTTTGGGAAGGACGGTACCCGGCTTGGGCGCTTAGGAGAGAAGGAAGTTCAAAGGCTTGCCAGAAGTCAAGGTTAAGCTTATTTGAACCCAACTTACTCTCTTGCTAGCATTGAGTCTGGATTCTGAGAATTGCAGTTTTCTGAGCAACTTAGTTATGAGCTAAAGAAGTTACCTTTTGGGAAAAAGGAAGGCAGAGCGAAAGGAGGGAAGGGGGGAGGAAGCGAGGGAGGAAGTAGCAGCAGCAAGTACTTCCCCACTGACCCCTCCTCTTGCCCCTCAGGAGACCCTGTGCCCAGGGGAGCCGCTGGTTCTGTCCACTGGAGACCTGCAACTCCTACAGTTCTACGCAGGACAGTGCCAGAACCACTACACAGCACTGCAGACGGCCATGGCAGCCCTGGTGGCCAGCACCCAGGCCAACCAGCCACCACGCCTCTTCGTGCCCCACGGCAAGCGAGTGGTGGTGGCCGCTCACCGCCTGGTGTTTGTTGGGGACACCCTGGGTCGGCTGGCAGCCTCGGCACCTCTGAGGGGACAAGTTGGGGCTGCAGGTGCAGCGCTGGGCCAGGCCTTGCGGGCCACAGTTTTGGCAGTCAAGGGGGCTGCCCTGGGCTACCCCTCTGGTCCTGCTGTTCAGGAGATGGCACAGTGTGTGACAGAGCTGGCAGGGCAGGCCCTGCGATTCACCACTCTGCTCACCAGCCTGGTGCCCTGAGGCTCTCCCACAGCACAACCCTGCCCCTCCCTGCCTGGAACGCCCCTCCAGGTCTGGGGGCATGGGCAGCCAGAGGGCTCTGTTTTAGGGGCCAAGAGAGTGTGTTGGGGGTATCTTTCCAATCCCTTCTGGCCATCTCAGCCTGTTCAAGGTGTCTGTTGTTCCCCTCAGCTGCAGCTTTTTGTATGAGCCATTTTGTATAAATTATTTATATTTTAAAAATATTCTTCCCCTGCTTTGTCAGGGGTAAACACCGGGTCTTGCTTCATGTCCCCAGCTGGTGGCAGAGGTCATACTACACTGCCCTTCCACAAGCCTTGGGAAGTCAGGTGGCTGGAAACATTAGGGAGTGGAGCCCAGGAATGAGGTCCCCAGAATGTGAAAGTCTAGGGGAGACTGGATCACTCCACTGCAGGCAGGAGAGCCGGGCATGGGAGCACACTCCAGTAAACCCTGATGTCTAGCTCCCCAGGTTTACTTCTTGGGACCCTTCTGGTAGGGAATGAGTAGGCCCAGCACCCTTCCATCATATCTGTTGGACCCACAGAACTTGAGGCAGGTGGGGCTCTTGCTTCTTTCTTCAACACGATACACCAAGGCCAGGTGCACAGGTATGTGGTAAGCAGCCATTCAAGCAAGAATGGGACAGATGCCGCCAAGGGAGTAACAATAAGCCCCTGAAAAATCAGCCATCCCCAGACTGCAGCGGTGCTGGTGGCTGGCAGAAGGGAGCACCTGGGTGAGGGCAAAGACTCTAAGCCAGTCAGTCGGTCAGTGGAGAAGTAACATGCATGCCAAAGTCCGGAGCAGCTAAGACCTAAGGTTACCAAAGTAGACCCAGATACCGATGACCAACCTGGGGACCTCCCTCTACTCCACATGTGGTGCCTGGAAATTCAGACCCCTTACAGTCCACTTACAGGCTTCCTTCTGGCCATCCGTTTGCAAAAGCATCTTTCACAGGGCCTGAGGCCACAGACAGATGCAAAGTGTTAGCCTTCCATAGGCCTCACGAGCCAGGGAGAATTGATGAACCCCTGGCTTAAATGGGCAAGGGTCTCACCCAGAGAGGGCCAAAGTAAGCTTTAGGCAGGAACACTGGGGGCACCCAAATTTCAATCCTAATCTTAGTCCCTGGCACCCCAGTGCATCTTCACCTTGCATGCACCGGGATTCCATATGGGCAACAATTCATGCCCCATCCAGCTCCCTGCTTGCAGCCTGGGAAGCAATCAAGGATGACCCAAAGCTTTGGGACCTTGCATCCACATGGGAAACCTGGAAGAAGCTCCAGGCTCCTGGCTTCAGAACAGCTCAGTTCTGGCCATTGCAGCCACTTGGGGAGTGAGTCATCAGACAGAAGGTCTTCTCTGTCTCTCCTCTCTGTATATCTGACTTTCAACAAATAAATCTTAAAAAGAATAAAATGAAAAGAGAAATGGAGCAGCCAGGACTCAGACCAGTGCCTATATGGGATGCCACTATGCCACAGTGCTGGTCCCCAGTAAATGTTTTTACAAAATTGGTACAAAGACCTTAACATGACTTCATATGAATAGCTAAGACCACATAAAAGTAAGGGATTCTATTTCAGTTTAGAATGATAGGAATAAGCACTCCCAAGGAACGTTACCTGAGAAAATCCCAAAGAGACACTGAATGAGTTGGACAATGGGAAATTGTGTGATGCATTAAAAAAAAAGAAGAAGAAGAAGAATGGGCTTCTCATATTTGGGGATAGTTTTCAAAATGTATTGCTTTATTTGAAAGGCAGAGTTACAGAATCTTCCATCTGATGGTTCATTCACCCAAAGGGACAAAGCCAGGAGCTTCTTCTTAGTCTCCCATTTGGGTGCAGAGGCCCAAGGACTTGAGCTTTCTCCATTGCTCTCCCAGGCCACAGGCAGGGAGCTGGATCAAAAGTGGAGCAGCAAGACATGAACCAGTTCCCATTTGGGCTTTACCCACCACAGCACAGTGTCCTGAGAAACTTCTGTGTAAAGGAGACAAATTTAATATGGTTTCGTGGACTTGCTAGCTTAGACTGGCCAGGCACCCCTTACCAACCATCCTTTGACCTTAGAGCAGAAAGTCGGGTGCCAGGTGTGTTTCTTTTTTTTTTTTTTTTTTTTTATTTATTTATTTTATTTTTTTTTTTATTACATTGCATCATGAGACACAGTTTTACAGGCACTGGGATTCCCCCCTCCCCTCCCCAAAACCCGCTCCCCCCCCCATGGTGGATTCTTCCATCTTGTTTAGAGCCTTACAATTTTACAATTCTTTGATGTAGATCAGAAGCAGTCTACTCATATCGATTATTGATTCCTTGATTACTTCACAATATCTTACTGCATGAGATACAGGTTGTTTGGGGTTGAAATAATATTACTGTTTCAGATTGACATCAATTTATAACAACCACATCAACAACAACACTAACAACATCGACAACAAAGTATATCACCCTGAAAAAAAGTAACACCACTGAATAGCCAACACATGCATGACAAAAAGAAAACACAGAAGTCTCTCGGGAAAAATGGTACGATTTATTTATTTATTGGAAAGTCAGATATACAGAGAAGAGGAGAGACAGAAAGGAAGATCTGTCTGATGATTCACTCCCCAAGTGAGCGCAACGGCCGATGCTATGCCAATCCGAAGCCAGGATCCAGGAACTTCTTCCGGGTATCCCACATGGGTGCAGGGTCCCAAGGCTTTGGGCCGTCCTCAACTGCTTTCCCAGGCCACAAGCAGGGAGCTGGATGGGAAGTGGAGCTGTTGGGATTAGAACCGATGCCCATATGGGATCCCGGTGCATGCAAGGCGCGGACTTTAGGTGCTAGGCCACTGCGCCGGGCCCTACCAGGTGTGTTTCTAACTAAAGCACATGCACCTGTAAACATTAGGCACTAATTAAAATATGGATTCCAATTCAAGCCTCAGGGACACATTGTGCATTTCCAACAGGTGATAAAAGGTGCTGCTGGTCCATGAGAGGTAGCTGAAGGATGAGACTTGCCGGCATAAGAACTAGGTTGGGACTGGCATTTGGCACAGCAGTTAGGCTGTCACTCAACAGTGCCCACACTCCATGCCGGCAGTGCCTGAGCTCCAGTTCCAACTCCAGCTTCCTACTGATGCACATCCTGTGAGGCATCAAGTACTGCTACCTGCTATCCCTGGGGAAGAGCTGCATTGAGTACTGAGCTCCCAGCCACGGGCTGGCCCAGCACTGGCTGTTGTAGGCACTTGGAGAGTGAAGCAATGAATGCAAAATACCTCCTTCAAATAAAGTGAAAAGAGCTGATTGTTTCAAAAGAGCCAGGTCACACAGAGGTAAAAACTGTTTTTTTTTTTTACTCCCCTGCCCCCCAGACTGACTGTAGTATAGAGTGAGAATGAGAGGAGTAAGATGGAGCTGCTGAGAGTGTATGCCCCAGAACTACATATGGGGGGGGGGGGTCTTGAATGTTGCTATTTTGCTTGGTGGTGGGAAGAAAGCCAGCGCAGGCAATGAAGTGGGAAAGGGATGTGATCGGATCCTCATTGTGAAAAGAGCGTTGCATTTGCACTATAGATACCAGATGAGGGAAAAGGGGAGAAGGAAAGTGGATGCAGAACCCCAGGCCGGAGTCAGAAGCCTAACATGGCGTGGCACAAGGCAGCTTGATAAAAGGGTCACCACGGAGAGGAGCAGAGAACTGCAGGGAGATGGAGGTAATCGCATGGACAGTGTACTGTAAGGGCCTCAGCAAGGAGGGAGCCTCTGGCCGTAACTGAATGATGGTGGTGCCACGCGCTGTCGAAGGAAGCATTTGCAGCAGGCAAAGGCGTGAGTTTGGTCTGAGGCATATTGAGTTTGTGGTCCCTACACATCAGCCAGGCTAAGAGATCCAACAAGAGCTTGGTGTTTCCTGGGTCTGGCAAGGAGACAGCTGCATGTGTCCTTCTGGGAGCCTGCTTGGTGCTCTCTGCTCAGGTCGTGGCAGTGGGCATAATTCCAAGGTGGTGATAAAAGGGTACACTGAGAAGAGGGCATCCCAGGAGCAATCCTCTGAGGACTGCAGACATTGGGTACAAGGACTGGGCCCCAGGCGAAAAAAGGGAGGAGAACGGAAACCAGGGTGGCATGGCATCTCACAGCCAAGGCGGGGCTCAGGGAAGGGGTAGTCAATAGTGCCAAGTGCCATTGAGAGCTGATGGGAGTGGTGGGACCCAGAGAAGGGGTCTCTGCAGAAGCCTGAAACTAAAGCTGCCCAGAAATGCAGGTGTCCCCCAGTAATCTCCTCCAAGCTGGTCATGTCCACCCTGTTATACCACCAAAGTCTATCTAGCACAAGGCCTAGGACACAGTGAACAATTTCACTAATAAAGGAGCCAGCATTGTGGCATCACGGGTGAAGCCCCCACCTATGATGCCAGCATCCTTTATGGGTGTCAGTTGTTGTTCCAGCTGCTCTACTTCTGGTCCAACTCCCTGCTAATGCACCTAGGGAAAGCAGGAGAACATGGCTCTAGTATTCTGGGCCCCTGCCACCTATGTGGGAGATGCAGATGAAACTCCTGGCTCCTAGCTTCTGGCTGGCCCAGCGTTGGCTATTGCAGCCATCTGGGCAGTGCACCAAGCAAATGCAAGATCTCTTCCTGTGCAATCCTGACTTTTAAAAATAAATGTGTCTTGGGCCCGGCGCGGTGGCGCAGTGGTTAAGGTCCTCGCCTTGCATGCCCGGGATTCCATATGGGCACCAGTTCTAATCCCGGTGGCCCCTCTTCCCATCCAGCTCCCTGCCTGTGGCCCGGGAAAGCAGTTGAGGATAGCCCAAAGCATTGGGACCCTGCACCTGCGTGGGAGACCCAGAGGAGGCTCCTGGCTTCGGATCGGCATAGCATCGGCCGTTGCGCTCACTTGGGGAGTGAATCATTGGACGAAAGATCTTCCTCTCTGTCTCTCCTCTCTGTATATCTGCCTTTCCAATAAAAATAAAATCTTTAAAAAAAAATGTGTCTTTAAAAAAAATGAAAAGGAAATTTCGTGAAGAAATGAGTGGATGGACACAGGAGCAAGTGAATGGTAAGAACTCTGTAAAGCAAGGGGCATATCTGGTATCAACTCCCTGGGATGTTTTTCTTCAGATTTGGGGGGTTTTGTTTGTTGTGTTTTGTGGGTTTTTTCCTCCTTTTTACCGCAATGGCTTGCAGACCTGGGGAACCCACAACAGAGCCCCAAGACCCTCTCTGCCCTGGGCCCAGGGACACACACAAACACACCCTCTCTGACGAAGAGTCTGGACCCAAGGTTTTGCTGACGTGGGAAGGGGAGGAGAGTCGGGAGGAAGGGGAGGGGAGAGCAGCGCAGAGCTCGGGGAGATCGAGGAGGCGCCCGCTGCTGCGGAGCTGCGGAGTGGGTTCCCTGCAGGCTCTCAGCCCCGCGTCGGCCTCGACACCCGACTGGGCCAGCGGACAGTGCATCCTTTAGACGCGGGCCTGCAGGGCCCCTGCGGTTGGCAAGCTGGCTCCCCGGGTGGCCACCGGGACCCCCGAGCCGAATGGCGGGGGCGGCAGCAAAATCGACAGCACTGTAGAGATCACTCCCAGCACCAACGGGGTGAGTGCCCGCACCCCCTCCGCCCCCAACCCCAGCCTGGATCCCTCCTTCCACGCCCCGCCTCTGCCATCACCCCGAGCCCTGGCTTCCCCGCCGTCCCCTCCTCTTGCTCTGCGGTTGTCTGTGCTCCAGCCTCCTGCCCACCTCTCCCTCCCGCCCCGGCAGGTCGGGACCCTGGGAGATGCGGTGCCAGCCGAGCAGCTGCAGGGTGAGCGCCAGCGCCAGCGGGAGGGGGAGGGCGCGGCGGGCGGCGGCGGCGGTCTGGGCAGCAGCCTGTCGCTGGCCGTTCCCCCAGGCCCCCTCAGTTTTGAGGCGCTGCTGGCTCAGGTCGGGGCGTTGGGCGGAGGCCAGCAGCTGCAGCTCGGCCTCTGCTGCCTGCCAGTGCTCTTCGTGGCGCTGGGGATGGCCTCGGATCCCATCTTCACGCTGGCGCCCCCGCTGCATTGCCACTACGGTGGCTTTCCCCCCAACGCCACTGGCTGGGAGCAGCCCCCCAACGCCAGCGGTGTCGGTGTCGCCGGCGCGGGGTTAGCAGCCAGCGTCGCCAGCCGCGTCGCCACTAGTACAGACCCTGCCTGTAGCGGCTTCGCGCCACCCGACTTCAACCACTGCCTCAAAGACTGGGATTATAACGGCTTGCCGGTGCTCACCACCAACGCCATTGGGCAGGTGAGGTCACCTGGCCGCGGGATCCCCCGGGCGGGCTGAGCGCCGCCAAGCAGGTGGGGGGCTCACGCCGGCTGCACCCTTTTCCCCATCCCCAGTGGGATCTGGTGTGCGACCTGGGCTGGCAGGTGATCCTGGAGCAGATCCTCTTCATCCTGGGCTTTGCTTCCGGCTACCTGTTCCTGGGTTACCCAGCAGACAGGTGAGGGCAGACAAGGGGCAGGGCTGGCAACAGGAGAGGTTCCCTGGGGAAGCTGGCCCCTGGGCACCTGAAGGTCCATCCACTACACTCTGGACACCTGTTTCATGACCCACGGGGCCTCAATCTCAAATGCCAACAAGAATAACACCTCCCCCATCTCCTCCACGGAAGAAAATGACTCCACTTGGGCTGGCTGCTGGTTCCATCCCTACTGACACAAACTCCTCTCTCCCTGATCAAAGAGTCTCTCCCTCCAGTTGGCTCTTCTCACCTCCACCCTCTTCCTTACCATCCTTAGAGGAACAGACACATCCAACTCACTAACAGTCTACAGGAAACTGTTGGCTCCCACTCAGTGGCCTCCTTCCTAAATAGTGACACCTGCTCTCCCTGCGTGCCACGAGTTCAGCTTTACGAATCATCCCGCCTCTGACCGGCTGCAGTCAGTTATACCTAAGGGACAATCGCCCTCCTCCCAACAGTGCCATGCCTGCCCTGCAGTGACTCCACGCCCTTGGACTGAGGCACCCCACGGCAGCCTCCCCTCACATCTGCATTTCCAAGATCTGTAGCCTCATCTCCAGACATCAACAGCCCAGCCCTCCCATCCAATAACTCCTCACGAATGAAAACTTCTATCCACTCTGGTTCTGGACGCCAGAGCATTCCACTGCATTGACCATCTGCATGGATTGTTACATTCATCCCCAGTCATCTAGAGTTCTAGCCAAATGGTTTAATAGCTCAACTTCCACGGATCAAAGAGATCTCTGTGTGGAGTCGTTCAGTACCCAGAAATCAATGCCCATCCCCACTGCCAACAGGCACATGTCCCCAGGAGGCCTGACCCTAAACCCACAGATCAATTGTCTACCTGCATTCCTCCATGGAACAATGGCCTCATTCTTAAAGATGAGTAATAATTCAGACTCTTAAAAGCCAGCAGTATTAGCCCCTCCTCATAGAAATCCTGAGGGTCAGTGACTCCAGTGGGTCAGTGGGATCACTCCCAAGAATCACTGCCTCCTTTCCAATGGTCAGTGGTTACAAAAGTATGTCTCCACACCGCAATGGTCTTACCCCCAAGGATGGCTAGCCAGGACCTCACTGACTCATAGTCATAACCACCATCATTCATCTTATCTTCCCTGGTCTGTCACCCCATCCTCAATGATCATGTCTGAGGATTCAGAGATTCACCCCAAGAGCCCCATGCACTTGGACTAGATAAGAGCCTCATCCCACAAACCAATAGCTCCATCCCCAAAGGTCAGTTGTGCCATTTCTGAGGACCCCCACTGAGCCACACGCAGACCTACCCCATGGGCTAACAGACCACCCATTATTACCATGGTCCAGCAGTTTCATCTCCTGGCCACTGGCCACTCTTCCCCCTCTTCCAGGGCCAATCTGAAGAGTCTATAAACTTGTTCCATCTCTGTAAAACAGTGTCCTCAACCCTTTAACTCAGTCCCTTCAAGATCAATAGGTGCGTCTTCATTATCCCCCAGAGACAAATGGCCAGTGATCAGCAGCTCCCACCCTACAGAGCAGTGACTCCCCTCTGAGCAAGAGGCCCTCCATCCCCACTACCCAGTTGCTCTAGCCTCACAGTGTCATGATCCCAAATCCCCTAAGCAACATCTCATCCACTCTGACGAACAATCTCACAGCCCAGCTAATGACCAGCAGCCAATGGTTACCCTGCACTCACAGATCCACAGCCATTCCCTAGTGCCCACTGCCAGACACCACCAACCCAGGATCCCCATCCCTGAAGCCAACACATGGCTCCCAGAGCCTCATCCTCATGCCTCCAGCTTTGCGGTGGACAGTTAGACCCCTGCAATTGCTCCTCATTCTCCCTGGAGCACCCTGGGTGACCAGAAGCCCTCCCGCCTCTCTAGGTTTGGCCGCCGTGGAATTGTGCTGCTGACTCTGGGACTGGTGGGTCCCTGTGGAGTGGGTGGGGCTGCCGCAGGCTCCTCCACAGGGGTCATGGCACTCCGTTTCCTCTTGGGCTTCCTGCTGGCTGGTGTTGACCTTGGCGTATACCTGATGCGTAAGTGGCACCTGGCCATGGGTCCCTGTTCGGATCCCACATCTGCCTGTGTGTATTCCCCAGGGCCCCAGATTCCCACTGCCCCCTTGGCTTCCCTCCGTTCCAGCTGGTTTTGTTCCCCATCCCCAGGGGCCTTTGGAGCATCCAGTTGCTTTCCCACCTGTCTCCCCACCATGATCTTGAGAGCCTTCCCTTGTGTCAAGGAGCAGCATCACATTTGCAAAATGCCATTCCCAACTAGCCACATAACCTTGAACAACAAGGCTGAAAGTGAAGGTCAAATAGAAGACCACATGTAGCAGGGCCTGAAAAAGCCGGGGCTGCTAAACACCTTTGCCAGGGACTGCAGCCCTAGACCCTCCAAGGCTTGCAAGAGAGGGAAGAAGACTAAACAGTCTTTCTCTCTATGTCTGTTCCTAGCCACCCAGAGGTTAAGTCTGTGGGAGGGGACAGTTGTAGCCTCCCCTGAGGGTCTGACCTTGCTCTCTGTCCTCCTCCCTCCCCTCCTCTCTGATGCCTGTCTTCCCTGGCCCCTCTCCTCCCTCCATCCCTGCTGTGTCTCCAGGCCTGGAGCTGTGCGACCCGACTCAGAGGCTTCGGGTGGCTCTGGCAGGGGAGTTGGTGGGGGTGGGAGGGCACTTCCTGTTCCTGGGCCTGGCCCTTGTCTCTAAGGACTGGCGGTTTCTGCAGCGAATGATCACGGCTCCCTGCATCCTCTTCCTGTTCTATGGGTCAGTATCACCTTGCACCAATCATCTAGCCAGTCCCATCTCTAGCCTTGCTCTTACCCAGAGACCCCCTTCCCCTTCTCCAGCTGCTTCTGCCTGCCCCCCTCCCCCAAGGTGGGAGTGTTCCATGTGCCTGGATGGGGAGAGGGGAGACCTCATGGTGTGCCCACCGCCTTGTCCTCCAGCTGGCCGGGTTTGTTTCTGGAGTCCGCACGGTGGCTGATAGTGAAACGGCAGATTGAGGAGGCTCAGTCGGTGCTGAGGATCCTGGCCGAGCGGAACCGGCCTCACGGGCAGATGCTGGGGGAGGAGGCCCAAGAAGCCCTGCAAGGTACGAGCCTGGAGTGCCTGCAGGTGGTGCCCCAGGGGTACACACACACACACACACACACAGTGGCATTCTTGCCATGTGGGGGCGGTGCTGCCTGCTGCCAGGGTCCCACCACTGAGGAGGGAGGAACCTGGGTGTGCCCCTGTCTCTTCTAACAGACAACTGCTCTCTGTCTCCCTCAAAGACCTGGAAAACACCTGTCCTCTCCCTGCAACGTCCTCCTTCTCCCTCGCTTCCCTCCTCAACTACCGCAACATCTGGAAAAATCTGCTGATCCTGGGCTTCACCAAGTGAGCCCATGTCTCTGCACAGAGGGCCAGGCCAGTGGAGGGTTGAGAGTTGACTGCATGGGGGAGGCCCACGGAGCCCTGTGGAGAGGGGAAGGCTGCAGAGGGGTGGAATGGCAAGGTGGGGGCTAGATCTCAGACATCACTCTCTGCTTCCCCACCCACTTCCGCAGCTTCATTGCGCATGCCATTCGCCACTGCTACCAGCCAGTGGGAGGCGGAGGGAGCCCATCGGACTTCTACCTGGGCTCCCTGCTGGCCAGTGGCACAGCAGCCCTGGCCTGTGTCTTCCTGGGAGTCACCGTGGACCGGTTTGGCCGCCGGGGCATTCTGCTTCTCGCCATGACCCTGACTGGCATCGCATCCTTGGTGCTGCTGGGCTTGTGGGACTGTAAGCACCTCCTTTTTCCTCTCACAAACAGGGGGAGACCCCCAGGGAACCCCGACAGACTCAGCCACTGCTCCCAGCATGGGCCACCCAAGATAAGGTGCAGACCCAATCTCCATTTCCCGTAAGCCTCCAGTCACTCCATGTCTGCCCAGAACCCGGCTACATGGAGCCATGGAGTCCCAGAGAGTCGAGAAGGTGACAGTGAGGAGTGGGTCAGGCTCGGTCTGCCCACTTCTGCCCAATCACCCCCTGTCGGTCCTGCAGATCTCAATGAGGCCGCCGTTACCACCTTCTCTGTGCTGGGGCTGTTCTCCTCCCAAGCAGCCGCCATCCTCAGCATTCTCCTGACTGCCGAAGTTGTCCCCACCACTGTGCGGTGAGAGCAGGGCAGGGCCAGGTCTCAGGGAGGACGGGGCCCCAAAGGATGAAGGCAGGGAGGGAGGGGGCCGAAGAAAGGCGAAGACCACAGGTCCAGGCCTCCTCCTCTATCCTCTTCCTTCTCTCCCCAGGGGTCGTGGCCTGGGTCTGATCTTGGCTCTGGGAGCGCTCGGGGGGCTGAGCGGGCCAGCCCAGCGCCTGCACATGGGCCACGGGGCCTTCCTGCAGCATGTGGTGCTGGCCGCCTGCGCCCTGCTCTGCATCCTTAGCATCATGCTGCTGCCAGAGACGAAGCGCAAGCTGCTGCCCGAGGTGCTGCGGGACGGGGAGCTGTGCCGCAGGCCCTCCCTGCTGCGGCAGCCGCCTCCTAACCGCTGTGACCACGTCCCACTGCTTGCCACTCCCAACCCTGCTCTCTGAGCAACCTCCTTGCGCCCTGGTGATAGGCTGACTCCTACGGGAAAGAAGCCTGGGGCCCTACCCACCTCTTGGCAAGATCAGGATGACTGAACAAGGCAGGGCCAAACCGCCTCTCACCAGTGGTGGAGGGAGAGCTCAAATGTGCTGTCCCCACTCAGTGTCCTCCCTGCTGCTTTGTGTTCATTTCTGGGGCAAGGGTCAGGGGTCGGGGAGAGAGATCCATGCTGTCACCGCCAGGTCTGGGCTCCATCCTCCCCAGACCACATTCTTTCTTGCTCTATCATTCTCTTTCAATAAAGACATTTTGAATAAACAAGCATATCATAGCCTCAACTGCCCTCCCTTCTGTTGTCCTTTGGGCTCCTGGAAGGTTTGAGTGGAATACAAACTGGGAACAATTGCCCTCCCTCCATCTCTCACTTAACCTAAGGACAGCTCCCCACCTCGCGCCACGCGGACTGGCTCTGCTATGCTGCCAGCACTGGGCTAGGCACTTGGTGCGTTTGCCGTCTAATCCTTAACAATGTCGCCAGGTGGGTGTTAGCAGCCTCTCAGATTTTGGATTCAAGCACTAAAAGCAGACCCTAAAGAGCAAGAATCTCTGAGAAGCGGTAGGACAAGGTTGCAGGGGAAGCTCACAGGGTGTAAGAAGCCGAACGAGGCATTCAACAGTCCAGACCCAAAAGCCTACCTGGTCCAGGAAGAAACTGCACACGAAGCTTATCAAGGCTTATCCTGACTGGATGAACTCTGAAGGATTCCATCTTGGAATATCCCTTACTAAAGACTGGTTTTCAGAGAGCTGGTAGCCAGTTGGGGTTATAGGCCATGCCTACCTCCAACCCCAGCCAGCTCCAATTTTGCAAATGTGACAATACGGTCGACTTGCCCCAGTTCACAGAGGTAACAAGTGACAGAGCTAGGATCAGATCCAGAGCTCTTCAGTGATGCACTGGGGTCACCTTTCCAGCTCATCCCAATGGGGCCCTCCCCTTGGGGGCAAGGACTGGGAACTCGGCTGGAAAGGGACAGTGGGAGGCTAGTGCTTGGACCCATCTTTCCCACTGGCCTTGATCTGGCTGTGCTACTCTGGGCAAATCTCTTCCCCAACACCTTCCTGCAAAAATCGCTGTGAGGACTACACAGATACTGGATCCTCAGCGTGTCTTGAGCTTCCCACCTAAACAGTAAGCTCTTTGAGGACAAGGAATGAAGTCTTGTTCAGCTTTAAAAGATCATTGGCAGTTGCCCAAACACTTCAGAGTAATACTTGTGTGTGTTCTTTCGTCAGGTGCTTCTTGTGACCAATTTACAGATCAGGGCCGTCCTGGATGCTTAGGGCATCAGCTAAAAATCCATCTAAGGGCCCAGTGCAGTAGCCTAGTGGCTAAAGTCCTCACCCTTGCACATGCCAGGATCCAATATGGGTACCAGTTCGTGTCCCGGCAGCCCCACTTCCCATCCAGCTCCCTGCTTCTAGCCTGGAAAAGCAGTTGAGGATGGCCCAAAGCCTTGGGACCTTGTGTGAGAGGTCCAGAAAAAGCTCCTGGCTTCATATCAACTCAGTTCCAGCCATGCAGCCTCTTGGGGAAATAAATCAACAAATGGAAGATCTTTATCTCTCCTCCTCTCTGTTTATCTGACTTTCCAATAAAAATTTTTAAAAAGTCCATCTTAAAAAAAAAAGTCCATCTAACACTAGCAATATGAATGAGGAGGAAGATGCCAGGATTTGGAACACTAACAGTTGCTACTACTTTTTTTTTTTAAGATGCATTGATTATTTATTTATTTAAAAGGCAGAAAGAGGAGGAAGAGCAGGAGACCTTTGCCGGCTTGTTCACTCCCTGAGATGACCACAATGGCCAAGGCTGGGGCAGTTCCAAGCTAGAACTTAGCAGAAGCTTCCTCTGGATCTCCCACGTGGGTGCAGGGACATAAGCATGTGGACTGTTGTCTGCGGCTTTGCCAGGCACATTAGAAGGGAGCTGGATTAGAAGCGGAGCAGCCTGGACTCAAACCAGCGCTCGCAAAGGAGGTTGACATCACATGATGAACCCTGACTTCTGGCATTGGATCAGCTCAGCTCCAGCTGCTGTAGCCATTTGAGTGAACCAGCAGATAGAAGATCTCTCTCTCTTTCTTCTGTCTTTCCTTCTCTCAATAAATCTGCCTTTCCAATAAAAAGCCTTATTTAGAAAGAAGGAAGATCTTCCATCCACTGGTTCACTCCCAAAGTAGCTGCAACAGCCAGAGCTAAGCCAATCCAAAGCCAAGTGCCAGGAGTTTCTCCCCAAACTCCCACACAAAGGTGCAGGGTCCTAAGGCTTTGGGTCATCCTTGACTGCTTTCCCAGGCCACAGGCAGGGAGCTGGATGGGAAGTGGGGACGCTGGGATTAGAACCGGCACCCATATGGAATCCTGGCATTTGCAAGGCAAGGACATTAGCCGCTAGGCTACTGCATCAGACCCACACATTTCTTCAGTAAATAAAATTACCTTTAATTACCAAAGGACTCCTTTTTACTGTAGTAAGTTCTAACATCTGTGATAACCCCCACACTCCATCCCCAGTAGATGAGAGTAGAATAAATGGTTATCAGCAAGCACAGGGAAGGGAAGAGGCACAGCAAGCAACAGGATTGGCAGGTGTTTTAAATTTTGATCATGATTACCAGGGCTAGTGTCTTTATAATTAAAAAAAATACTTATTTAAATTTTATGTATTGTTTCCTAAAGACATTTATTTTTATTGGAAACGCAGAGAGGAGGAGAGAGGAAGATCTTCCGTCCGATGATTCACTCTCCAAGAGACTACAACAGCTGGAACTGAGCTGATCCGAAGCCGGGAGCCCAGAGCCTCTTCTGGGTCTGGGACAGAATCCCAAGGCTTTGAGCCATCCTTGACCACATTCCCAGGACACAGGCAGGATGCTGGATGAGAAGCTGGGTGGCTGGGATTAGAACTGGTGATCATATGGGATCCCAGTGGGTTCAAGGCGAGGACTTTAATCGCTACTCTATTACCACAGGGCCCGGAAAGGCAGATTTACATAGTGAAGGTGAGATGGAGAGAAAGATCTTCCATCTGCTGGTTCACTCCCCAGATAGCTACAACAGCCAGAGCTGTGCCATTCTAAGCTGGAGACCAGGAGATTCTTCTGGGTCTTTGAAATTGGTGAGGTATCCAAGCTCTTGGGCTATCTCTGCTTTTGCTTTCCCAGGCCATATGTAGGGAGCTGGATGGCAAGTGGAAAGGCTGGGACACAAACCAGCACCTACGTGGAATGCTGTGGCTGCAAACAGAGGCTTAAAATACTGTGCCACAGCACCAGTCTCAAGGAATACTCTTTTTTTAAGATTTATTTATTTTTATTACAAAGTCAGATATACAGAGAGAAGGAGAGACAGAAAGGAAGATCTTCCATCCGATGATTCACTCCCCAAGTGAGCGCAACAGCCAGTGCTGCAACCAGTCCAAAGCCAGGATCCAGGAACTTTCTCCAGGTCGCCCACATGGGTGCAGGATCCCAAGGCTTTGGGCCGTCCTCAACTGCTTTCCCAGGCCACAAGCAGGAAGCTGGATGGGAAGAGGAGCTGACGGGATTAGAACCAGCATCCATATGGGATCCTGATGCATTCAAGGTGAGGACTTAAGCTGCTAGGTCACTGCGCTGGGCCCAGGACTATTCTTTTCAACTCTGCTTTTACACAGCAAGAAAAGCTGTTGTTATTGTTAAAATCCAGCAATGGCTTCTCTTCTCTGTTGCCAACATCAGGCTGAGAAACTGAAAAAAAAAAAATCCACATTGTATTGTCTTGTTTATTTTGTTACCGCAAAGTCCTCTGAGACTCTGGCTCACAGATCCTTACTCAAGACAATCAGCAATCAGACTTTCTTTGTTCATTTCATTGTTTTTCTCTCTCTCTCTTTCGCTCTCTTTCTTTTTTAATTTAGTCTCTGGGCCTGGGATGATGGCTCAATGTTTAAATCCTTGTCTTGCATCTGCCAGGATCCCATATAGGCACTAGCTTGTGTCCCAGCTGCTCCACTTTGCATCCAGCTCTCTGCTTGTGGCCTGGGATAACAGTGGAGCGCGGCCCAAAGCCTTGGAAACCTGAGCTGATGTGGGAGACCTGTCTTCTGACTTCAGGTCAACTCAGCTCCAGTCATTGCAGCCACTTGGGGAGTGAACCAGTAGGTGAAAGATCTTTCTCGTCTCTCCTTCTCTCAATCTGCCTTTCCAATCAAAATAAGAAAGAAAGAAAGTCAGCCTGACCCTCACAAGGACAAGAAGTAGGACAAGGAGTAAAGGGGACATGGCTATGGCGTCTGCCTTGTCCAGCAGGATGAGGAAGGCAACTCCCCGGGGGCATGAATGGCTTTGGAGGACCTACTGACAGGCATTGAGAGGCTGACACCAAAGTAGGATGCATGACCTCGTAGCGTGCAGCCTAGTGCCAAGACAAGGGATGGAGGGATATTTACTCCAAACCACGAAGGAAGAGCTAACCAGACAGAGAAACACTGTGACCTGACTGACAAACAAATGCTTCTTCCAGAGTTCAGACAGACTGCGTGGCTGCTGTGCTTGGCTCCTGTGCTGCACGATGTGCACGATTTTAATGGAGAAGCTGGGATAGGAGCAGCGCGCACTGGACTGGAATGCACATTCTATCAGATGAGCGGTGGGATGCAGCCAGACACTATCATCAGGATCAATGGGGACAGGAAGGCTTCAGTTCCACTCTTGTGACTGTACCATGTGCTTTCTGGTTAACATCAGGGAGAAGCAGTTTGCTGACAGTTAAACAGTTGGGGAGTTGTTGCTCAAGCAATCAAAGAAGAAATGCAGAGGGGCCCCAGCATCGCGGCCTACAGTCCTTGCCTTGAACACACTGGGATCCCATATGGGCACTGGCTCTAATCCTAGCAGCCCGCTTCCCATCCAGCTCCCTGCTTGTGGGCTGGGAAAGCAGTCGAAGACAGCCCAAAGCTTTGGGACCCTGCATTCGCATGGGAAACCTGGAAGAGGCTCTGGGCTCCTGGCTTCAGATTGGTTCAACTCCGGCTGTTGTGGTCACTGGGGGACCGAAATAGCAAGTGGAATATTTCTCTGTCTCTGCTTATCTATGAAAATCTGCCTTTTCAGTAAAAATTAATAAATCTTTTTTTAAAAAGACAATGCATTTCAAAAAGAAATCTTTTATTCAATTAGTTCATCCCAGATTACTACTGTAGTCAGGACTACACACCATAGAAACCAGGAAAGAAAGGGCTCAAGTACTCTGGGCAACCTGGGCTAGCATCCAAGGGCCATGCCG